TGTTCTATAATTGTGCCTAGAAAACCGGTACACGACGAGTTTATTAAAAATCGCGGGTTACTCACGTAAACATACCGAGGAAAGCTCTACTAGTTTCAAACCACAGAGGGGTTCATCCTCATGAGCAGTGTACACGGTCGCGGCGCAGTCTACTTGCTAGCGTTGGCGCTTGCGTCAGGGTAAAGCTTGAAATTGTCTTCAACCTTTGGCTTAGGCTTGCTTGCAACAACTTTAGGAACTCAGTCTTTACAACAATAAACCCTTGGTACCTAAATATGAACTGTACTCCTTCACAATTTTGATAAGAGAAAAAGCAATAAGCAGCATTACAAATGCCTAGTTCAAAACAAGGCAACATTCAACCAGTCAAATCAGCAGCACTTCTATACTCCCACACAATCGCACTCACTAATCGAGCGTTTAAAATTGCACTATGTTTTGACTCGTACGTTTGCTAGTTTATAAATAGTTCTAACATTGCTCTTGTTATGTCTAAATCTCTGCCTTCCTAGTTTAGACACCCAAGTGTTGATTGTTTGCCAGTTTGCACGTGATTACGACTTAAGTAGGAAGTCGTGTGGTTGAACTGTTGTTTAGGAACGCCATGGGAGGGAATGTTTTGAGATTTCAATTCGAATATAGATTTTATCCCTATTAGTGGTAATTGTGGTTGGTAGGCAGACAAGGTCATAGAACTCGGAAACTGGAAAGCGGCTAAAAAGCCTTAATAGAATATTTAATTTTGTACTTAATTTTTTTTAAACTTATAACTAGTGACGTAAGGATAGCAGCACGTTGGAAACATTTAAAAAACGTTTATTATTACCATTTTTAATGGTGTATGACAGTATATTCCATTACATAATTAACTATTATCAGAAAGTATTTAAAATAATGTACTGGGCTATTGAGTAAAAGCTGAACTTATAAAAATAAATAAACAAATCGATTAACAAGATGTTAACAATATCAAATAAAAATTCCGCAGACATGTTTAATAAACGCAAGGCCAATAAAATATCTGGAAAGAAAATTTATGAACAAGAAACGAATCATCGACACAATAAATTTAACGGAGATCCGCGGGAGACTTCAACAGCGAAATAAAAAGATCGCGAGGTGATGAATAAAAATGTGGGTGCAGAACATGACATGCACAGATTTATCGACGAGTGAGTCGAACGACCACCAGCCACGATCACTACCTACCACCAATTGCACGACGCGTATGACTTGCTACACAAGTACCTTTTTTATTTAGATATTAGACTGGACTGGGGTTTAGAAATTAAGACATTTATGTAGATAAAATAATAGTTATGTCGAAAATGACATGAATCGATAGAAAACATAACGTCAGACAATTTATGGCAATAGCGAAATTAATGACTTTTATTATTTAGTCACACGTGCAGTCTTCAATCATACTTGGAGTATGAAGTATGTGAAAACATTTAAAAATATGAACGATATAAATCAAAGGAAATTGACAGAAAAATCTGTTTAGCATATCTTTAAAGGAGTAAGGTACAAGTGTTTTGTGTTGTCATGCATGTTTTGTTCATAAAACATGAGCCACCCGCACTTTTTCTTAACGAAACGACCGCAGACAATATGTATCTCGCGTCGGTTCGCGATTTATCGCCAATAAACATTACAGGGGAATTGAATGCACGAAGGAGCTTAACGTAAGTGATAATACCAAGAAGCTTTTGTATGCAAAATGTTCCCGAGATGTAGGTTAGTGATAAAACGAAGATTATGATGATGCAGATAAACTGCGGTGGGTCTCTCCAAACGACATCACAAAAATTTAGCAGCAAAAAGCTCTCTCAGTTAAATAGGTGCGAAATTCGCAATGAAAATTATGATCTCTGCGGTGGGTCGAGTGCAAAATTAGATTTTATATTTAAAACCTAAAAAGCTTAAAGTGATTTTAATAATAAATTTTATATTGAAAGAATAAAAACTGTAACGGCTGTGTGCGATTTAGAATTAATGGAATTGACGAAATCCCTTTGCACGTCATGATTACCATATCAGAGTTACTATCTTAAAAAGAGACAGCAAGTTGAATTGAACTGTCAGAGAAACAAATTAATAAGGCTCGGGTTACTAAGTAAATAACCATTCACCACATTAAAGCTGGGAAAAGAGCTAATCAAATCCTTCAAGTAAAGCCTAAGGCGAAGGCTCAATAAACTTAATTGAAAATCAAGCTTATGAATCATATGACAGGGCTGACATGGTTGAGCAGTTATTCTGCGGTGTTTGTGACTTGTCTAACAATCAATCATAGTTAATTGGTCTCAAGTGCCAGTTATTCTATTAACTTAGCAAAATATAAATTTAATAATTATGGCTTCATAATACCATTTTGATAAAATTGATTTTTCTTTAACATCGTACCTACTTTGTCGATTTACAAACATGTGTATATTCTAATTCTAACTTAGAAAAACCAGATTGGCTCTCCAGCTAGTCTTATATATAATATGGTTGTCTGGCGTCTAGCTAGCTTAGGTCAGATACATTGTAGCTGCAACATAGCTACTATTTCGAACATCGCAATTTATTTCTATTTGTAAAACATTTGGATTATCCAGTTATTTCCAGTTGTGTTTTCAATACAACATTAATCTTATTGCTCATCACGTAGATATCGTCTTGGCTTTCATCAAGTCTATCTAGACAGACCTAGATTTTTCTGTTCCATTCATGTCTTTGCAAATAAAATACTACAAAATATATGTCAGCTAAAATATTTACTAGCCATTGAAACTATTTGTGAGTATCTACTTCTATGAAGTCTTAAATCTGTCAGTCAAAGCACTTATTTACTGAAAGGTAAATTCGTTACCAAGCAAATATCTATAAATATCATAATGACGAATATTACTTCAAACCTTTTAATGACAGATCTATGATTCAAAGCGATAATCAGATAAAATAATGGAATACAAACTTGCAATTTCTTTTAACAAACAAAACCTTTATCAAATTCAACCTTCTAACGCTTTACTAAAGTCTAAAATTAAACGGACATAACTTATCATTGGTGATGTCAAATGTGTTTCATTGATAGAAGATGACAGAATGGTTTGGAACATTGGCGCCAATTTGCACCAATCAAAATACTTGGTTAAACTTGACCTGTGAATTGGAGAAATGCTCTTGACAAAGGCGCAACGAAGTTCAAAGTGTCTATAAATGAACTGGCGTCGAAGTGGTGCATATTTTATGGTGTTTAAATTGCATACAGTCAAGAATGTCATACGTATACATCTTTGCGTGACCACTATACATCTTTTCGCAGCGCATACTGGTCGGGTGCGAGTTTTGATTTGCATACAGGAACTGTTGCACTGCTTATGCAAATTATCAATTTCTTCCTTTCTTTTTCCCATACATAATATAATACAATATAATAAAGATCCTTTGCAAAGTTCTCTTAGCCTAAAATTAGATTTTGCCATTAGTATAACCTTTCAATATTCCCAATTTTGCACAAAACAACAAATACGATCTATTTAACCCCATCAAATGTTCAGAATCGTCACGTATTTGTAAATGTCAAAATAAATGTCAAACTCATTGGCAAACTGACTGCGAGAGCAGTTCTATCAGTATATCAGAGATGTTATCATGGCGGCAATAATCATGTCATACATCGGCCATTAGAACAATTAACAATTCATTACGTGCTTTACATGGCAGAATGGCGATCGCAATTTGTACTGACATTCACTTGATTCGGCCCCTTATATGGATCAGATTATCTGATAGATCTGTTTTATTGAATTAATAACTATGGGTTCACTCAACTTCATAATTCATACAGCAGATATCGTTTCTATTAGTTCAATAAACTGTAATTTCATACTAATTGTTGATTTTATCGTGCAAATTTTTGAACATGGACATGGAATGGATGCTAATTATTAATTAAGGAAAATCATATTATTTCAAAATAACATTCCACGAAATAAAAAAGACAAAGAATGCCAAAAATCAATACAAAGACAGACTAACAGACAGACGCTCATAATGGTCACTTAAAAGCTTCAAAGTGAAATGTCGCAATACGAAAAGCCGTTTAAAAATATAAATTGAGATGTGAGGAAAGCAGCCGACAGGTCCAATGAAAGTGTTCCTAAAGAAAAGAAAAAAGTGTCGGAGACAAATTAACAGGAACGTTTGTCACGTCGTTTGTCATCAGCTGTTAACTGGTTTAGTCATGGTACTGTTATTATAATGGATGTTGGGAATGCCGAAGTCATACGAGACTTTGATCATCATGTTGTTTTAATGCCATCCATGGTTAGAAAGTCAAGTAGAAAAATGTTCCATTTCATTTCTATTTTTGTTTTTAGTATCTTTGACAAGTGTATCTGAGGTAAGGTATAGCTATAGTATATAATCGAATTCTTGACAATATTCATGATTTTTATATCTTTATTTATCTTACTGCAATTTGTTTCCTAAAATACGATAATGATCACACTCTTTATACTTATGCCGCATAAAGGAATTCAAACGTTAAAGTAAAAGCTTTCTGAGACAACAACATTAAATTAACTGTACAAAACGATACATCTAGTTTGGTATTATGCAAATATATTTCTGATTATGGCATACAAGATAACATAAACAAAGAATGCTGTTACATTATCAATGACTAAGAGAATATTTAAATTTGAAAATGCTTTATCAGCACAATTATTGTTTACTGCTATTTGAAAAACACGAGTTTGCACTTATGTTCCATCGATTAAAATCAATACTTCTGTATCGATCTATCTCTAAATTGATACAACAATAAAATAGTCATCCATAGTTTCATAAACACAATGCTTCGGACCATTATCATTACTTTTTATTGTAATTTCATAGAGATTTATGTTGATCGATTTGACATTTGCATTTTTTTAATTTTCTGCATTCAATGCCAAAACAATAATTGGTAATGACGCCAGTAGCAAGTAGTTAATGATAGGTACCTTTGTAATTTTGTTCTTCGTAAGAGGTCAAGCGTTTGTGATGTATCTGAAACAACGAGAAATATTTTGTAATTAGTAACAATAGGTTTCAATAGAACGGGAATTATTCATGACGTCATCGAATTACATTCAATTTTTTCTTCATTTATTGGTCGTAAAGTGCAATGAAGAATATTAGAAAATAAAACGATATGGGGAACGCAGTTCAAGGTTGTTTATTGTGTCTCGTTGGTCAACTTATCTTATTATTTATTGTTATCTTTAAACTTCCTATCAAGTTAGAACATGAAGATTTCAACAAAAATACATTAGGGCTATAAAGAGAACCATAATTTTCGATAGCACCATTATTCCTTCATGAGCTGTTACCCTTATAGCAATTTATTCGTCTTATAAGTCTAAAAGCGAAATCGACACAACTCCCAACTCCGTAGATGGATATTCGGTTTATTATAATTCGAAATCGTGACTCGAGTCCCAGATATAATCGTTTGACACCTAACTAGCTTCCTTGGTTAAGGACGCCAAATGGCCCACCTGTTAACGACATAGAGTCCGTAATAATACGTGTGTTATGAAACGAATTACTGTGTTTTGTGGGTAATGATGTAGTTAACAATATTATAAGGTTATTTTAGATTTAAGATCCAAGGTAATTGTGTTGTAAATTAAGTTGTGATAAAATTAGAAGTTGTTCAAGGTGCTGTTAAGCAGGAATTATAAGGCATATATTTTGATGTTAGATTTAGAGTTTAAATTAAACGGTAAGCGTATTTTTATTTGTTTTTTTAGATTTGACTGGGGTCATAAAGAATTGATAAAACAGCTTTTGTTTAGTTAAGACTCAATTAAACTTTTAGTATGAAAAATATTTCACATCTAAGCTTAAGTTTTTTTTATGATTTACTAGCTTCTGCCCGCGACTTCGTACGCGCAATCCCGTTTCTTCCATTCCCATAAGGATTTTTCGTAAGAACCTTTTCCTGACGATAGCTAAAATAAAAAATAAATTCTGCTAAATCCGTCCAGCCTTTCTCAAGTTATGGCGTGACAACGGGAAACGGGTTTCATTTATATATATATATATATATATAGATAAGCTAATTATGCTTGAGTTGAAACTTTAGGGCCACGGGGTCTAAATGCAAAAAAATGCATATCGTTATTTACAAAGATATTGTAAAAAAGATTGTTGAAACTTCAGGTGAACTTTCTTTTTTTTCTATATTTCCTATGTCGAGTTTATTTGTAAATAATTTAGTTTAATTACATTCTTAATGTATGTACCTCTATATAGTAAAATTCGTAGATTTTCCACTAGTTGTAGAAAGTACACTGCATCTATAATCCACATATATTGAAACCGCAGTAATAGTGCATAATGAAATTATCATCATACATTATTGCATGTTTTCCTAATATTGCGCTCATCGGAATTGAGTTTTGACACTTCATAAGTGAGTTTATAAAGTCGTTGCCAAGTCTGCCAGTCTGTCGGATTATATTTCCGCCATACACGTGGCGTTGGTTGAAGAATGTCTGCAAGTTATTATTATGGGAATATGTGTCGTTTATTCTGAGCTGCGAATAGATTTGTTTGTTCCTTGTTCAAAACTATGCTTAGGATTTCCTTTAAAGACGCTATTAAATCTGTCTGAGCGTCCATTGTCCAGCTCTATTTTCATTCTTTGATTTTGTTATTGATGACGAATATTTGTTCTTGGTTTCTGGCCGTGAAAATTATTATAGGTAGTACATATTTGATTATTATTGATTTACCAGCCATCAACCAAGAACGTTAACTTCAAGAGAGTAGTTATGATTTGAATGTAGTTACGATTTTCTCGTATATTCTCGACTTCATCTTGCCAAATGATATTAGATAAGAAATTACTGTTAGCAGCAACCATCTGCTGTACGATACCGTACCACCATGAAAACGTATTTGGCTAATACGTTGCTAACATCAAATCGAGAGCCTTCACATAACCATAGCTGATAAATGTAAATTACTTCACTGACAACTGTAACAAACAACGCAGCGGGAGCTCTTGCAATGTTGCACTACCTTTATATCACTTTTAACAGAAAACTCTACTTTAACACCAAAACCATAAGGCACACAGTCTCCTACAACTTTGACAAGATTAGTATTACAAACAAGAGGAGTTTTAGTGAAAATTAAACTTTGAAAACAGGTATCATTTGATTCAGAGTTGATTGTTGTCTTCAATGCTAGGTACATAGGTCTATTGAAGTCCATTTAACAAAATTGAACTCCTGAGCCGTACAGACTGTACAGTAAATGCAATTCAAACATTATGATTTGTGATAATTATACTTAAATGCAAACGTCAAGTGCATGGCGTTCATAAATCATAAGGATAAAGTAACTACGATGGATTTAATCTTACACAAACAAACATTAGTTCTCTATGGGAGTTTGTTTAAGAGTCTGACGCATTCAAATGTACTTGACATTGATCAAAATTGAAATGATTTGTTATTATGTCCAAACTAATTTAGTCTTCTATAATGCCTACCTAATTTTTAGAGATTGACCCAATTTTGTTATGCGAGAAACTGACTGCCTATTAACTTTCTTTGCCAAATACGTACTACTGCTTTGTAGGTGGAAAATCTAAATCGGTTACTCAGTAAAATTCCTATTATGAATAAAGTGGCCTACGAAAGTCGGTGTCGGATTTCATTTCAAAGTAGAAAGTGCTAACACTCCGATTTAAGGTTAAGGGAATTAAGCCGTTTGATGGTTAGTCTCGGACCATAAACCAGAACTAAATCCATAACCAAAAAACTCCACCTCCCAACACGGACCAGTAAAGATGTTAAACAAGGATCAAAAGTGGTCAGCGATTACACAAAAATCCAATTCAATTACCACGTCTTTTGTGATCTAAAAGCCGCCTTTGTAGCGCTTCGCCAGCCGAGTACCCGGATAATCAGTTTCAATATTTGTTGTGCAATTTGTTTACCCTTCATATTGGAGAGCAGGCGCCCTCTAGTGTTACATTCAACATTAAAGAAGTTTATTTCATGAGAAATTTCGTCAGGACATCGTGGGAACGCAGGCGTACCGCAAGGGTCAATATTGGCCCATACAATTTCATTGTCAAGTTTTGGTAGCTTTAGTGTTGTATCCAAACAAAGTTGTTGCTGCTATCCGCTTTTACACCTACGTTAGCGTGATGTTTATATTTGTGATTAGTCTGTGTGTCGCCCTGCCGATATATAATGGTAAATAATGCATTGTTGTGGGTCAACTTTTATGACTTAGCTTGGAATTCGTCATGGGTGGCTTATGGGGGTCAAGACTTTTTTCTAGTTTTATATGGCGCGGCATAAATAAAATGATCTACGGGTAAAGTCTTTATTCTGTAAAGTTTTTTATTTTTACCATTACTCATTTTAATCAGTTCTATTGAGCAATTTCTATACTATTTGTACAACTTTTCAACAAGACGTGAAAATTTTGCATATAGTCATAGTACTAAAAGAGGCATTGCTAATTTCCGAATGACATTACCATATCGAGACATGGAAATGTAATTCAATGAGCATATAAATTTACGATTAATTAACTGCTTGATATTAATTTAATCAATTAGTTCCTAAATTCCGAACACTATCGAATTGGGTATCGTGTAGCGGGTGTGATTGATAAGCGGATTGTTAGGATTAATATGTTTAGTTTTGTTTCGTGTGAATGTGAAGGACTAAAGTAAAAGGCTGGTGAGTACACAGTAGTCTTGTTTACTGATTGCCTAGAATAAATAGTTCACGTGTTAGACTCGTAAAACCAATTAAAATTCTTGCCCTTAATTCTGACTTTAAATTCTTAATGTGGTATACAAAAATACATTGATTGAAATAATGTTTACAGCATCATTGATATATTTCCTCGTACTGCATTATTCTTTGACGTAGTTTTCAAAAAATCAGACGCTTATTCATCAATATTTCTATAAAGTTTAATAGCAATCGAACGACGAATCGACTGGTTTACAAAATATTTCACGCTTAATTCAACATGTCATCAACAGCAATCAAGATTCTGGTTTACAACAACCTAAATACCCAAAACGACATCTCCCACGGGAATATCATTCATAATCTATTTCACTAAAGTCTCCACTTAATATACTTGTAACTGATTGCAATATAGGACGGTGTGACAGCCTGCCATTCTGTCTTACGCCAGTGCACCAGATTAGCATTCTTCACGCTTGCACTAATAGGTTCGCACAAAAACTTCGTTAGCGCCAACCGACATATCAACTTCGACGTCTACAGGCTACGTTTTAGACGTAACATGAACAGCGGTTGCTTGTTTAGAATTATTAAGGTGTAAATGTAGCTTGGATACTATTCGTGCTGACTGGTTTTTTGTTTCATTCATTTTGCTTTTGGTTCTAATGAAATTGTTTGACAACTTTGACAGAATTGTGTAAAGTTAGTCTAATGCTGGATGTTCGAGTATATGCTCCGCTTATTCACAGACTGTAAACATTGAACGTCAGCTTCTAATTTTCTGATTACTTCTTCGAAACAACATATCCAAAAACAGTAGATCTAAGTAGTTCCACGGAAACTTACCATCCGGTAAACATTTTACGAGACGCGAAGGAAAATCCTAAGAAAATTAAATCAGATGTAGACAAACTGACATCCGTTTACCATATTAATGTAAAGCTTGTACAGAATAATGAATGGTTGCCAATCATGGCATCAATTTATTATACTAATAAGAAAACACTTATAGGCGCCACGTTACGCAACATTTCTCAACTAGTTATTAAAGACAGGATTAATCATGAAACTGTTCTGGTTAGCTTTTGCAATTATGTGGTAAATTAGTTTCCTTCACCAGTCATAGAAGTGACAAAGTGTTTTAATGGCTTGTCATCCCATATTTGAAATATAACTGATATTACCACGATGTATGGAGCTAGGGTTCGTTCTTAGTGGTAGTACGTTTTATTTGAGTAACATGTTTAATACTTTATCTTTGCGAATATATTGATTTAA